TCAAAGAGGCTGGAATATCTTTGACACAGATATCGTAATAATTTCAGTGACGTCCCCATAAAGGGTTATTAAACAATGGAAGAATGGAAAAGTGAACTGCATTTATTAAATTATGCAGAGATTCTATTTTTTCGAGTGACGATTAAGGTTAAATGATTTTTCATTTTCTCATTAACTTGAGATTAGGTTTTAAGATTTTATCTGTAGTAATGTAAAAACTGTATTACTGAATTAATGATTTTGTCGTAAATAACTTTTAAAGTTACTGCTATGAAATCATTACTCTCTAAATTTGAATCAGTGGATAGTCACTAATTACCCAGCGACATACTTGGACAATAAGTGTGCCTTCCAACAAACGACACAGTGCGACACAGTGATCGTGTCATCTTTGTTTAACATTGGCAAACAACAAGGATGTAATGATCATTTGTGTCACTAATTAGTGACTATCCACTGATTCAAATTTAGAAAGTAATGATTTCATAGCAGTAATTTTAAAAGTTATTTACGACTAATTGAAGTTCAACTAAAAAAGAATGTTTGAGCATTATATAACTAAAACACTGATATTTGCACGTTAATTTCAATCTTCGAATACCATATTCATTGAATTTATGCACTAAAACAAGGTTAGTTAGATCACATAATAAAGATTAGCTAGGTTAGAGATTTTACATTTCATTCACTGATTATCAGTGACATACTTGGCACTGATATCAGTAATTATCCACTGATTCGGATTTAAATAATAGAAAAGCACTTTTTTTTTACATTATCATCAAATTAAGTAACGTCAAGTTGAGTCTAAACCGGGTAAAGAAAATTCACAACCAAGGCTCAGTTTCACAATTCACGATTAACTCTAAACCGAAGTTCAATTTATTCACTATCTCTTTCGAATTCTAGAATTGTAAGAAGATGAGAAACAAGTTGAACCTCGATTAAAAGTCAACCATGAGTTGTGAAACTGGGCTTAAGTAAGTAAGTAGGATGGTTAGAACATAAACTTCAGATACAGTTTTCTTTAAAATCTCATTTGGAAAAGGAAAATAAAAATCACTTATTAAACAATCACTTATTCGTTTAAATTTTCACAGTCATAAACATTACTCTCTATCGTCACGAACGTGGCGCGTTGTCCCTAAAAAAAGCAGAAATATTTTATCCTGCGTACTGAAGAGCATTAAACAACATTCGATTCGCGGACGGAAATATTTTACGATGTTTAATAGTATTTACAGTGAGCATTTTTGGGATCCAGCGTAACATTAAAATCGTATTTCACGCGCGACCAGCGCGGCAGCGGTAAAATTCATACGCGGAAAAGGAAGGGGGGGAGGGGGGAGGGGGGAGGAAGAGAAAGAAAATCAACAACACGACGCGATCATAAATCCCACGCCCACGCAAATGCATTGCTCGCGAGCGCGAATTAAACCGCTGCGTTTTGACGCATAAAGTTCTGCTCGTCGATGAGCCATTAATTAGCTTCCACGGCACGGACGCCGCGGCAGGTATCAAACAGGATGAACATGGGATTCCGACGAGCTTTCGTAAACCGGCGTAATACATACGCTATCCCCGATTATGATACGCCCTACTAAGGATTCATAGCGCGATTACGTGGTCGAATTTATCGCGTTAATCGTGAATTCGTTCGTGCGTTGCGTGTAACTATCGTGAGAGGGGGCGACGAATTGTTTTGATGCCTATCAATGAAAATCTATGATATGACAAATATAGAAGAATGAATGTTATTCTCTTTGATTTACAAAACTCGTTGAGATAGTGAAAATATCTTGTTCAAACATGTGGAAGCGATTCTCACGTTTGTGAAAAATATATAATATTGACGCTCGCTAGTTTAAATCGTAAATACATCTTTTATCCTTTCGAACTTTTACCGATGACAATTCATCGGTTATTGATAATTAACTTAATCAAGGGCCGAGTAATAATATTTATTCCGCATCCGTTGTCTCGAATAAAACTCGTTGAGAAAGACTTCTTGTTTTGTCTAATTACTGTGATAGTCTGTTATTTAATTATCTCATATTCAAAGACTGCAATGACTTGCAGATTTTCTCTTCATAATCTTACAGCAGAGTGCCAATTTCAAGGAACTTGGTGACTGAATAAATATAATATTCGTTAGATAATACGGATGTCACATTTATGTGACAGGGACGTCGCAGCAAAGGCTTAAATAAAACACACGATTTAATGGAGTTCGTAATAAAACGATTTTCATCATTAACGATATCAAACTTTTAAAAAAGCTTTCATCTGTCAAATATAAGAATTCGCTTTCTATAAATAGACATACTGTCGATATTTAAATTTGAATGTACTGTATAATATCACTCTAAATCTGTAGCAGTGAAATTGTGAGTGAATTTATTAATGTTAAAAAGGAAAATAAATTTGAAGATTATAATAAACCGAATATCACTCCAAGGGGAGAATGATTTTTATTTAATTATGAAAAATTCATTTTCTCCCTAAAAAAAAGAAGATATAGTTACAAACTTCTATGTAAGAAGTTTCACACGTTAAAAAGTATATAAACTATATAAAAGTATACATTCTATATATAATACAAAACTAGTGTAACAATTCTAACCATCCCAGCTTTATATACACAGACATTGGAATTTCTATTACGGGAAGACACACTATCTGTTAACGCTTAACTTATTCACTTTGATTGATCGAGTCGGTTGAAATAATAATCCACTCCTTACATAAGAGTGGACCAATTAAGTTCAAAGTAAAAATTCACTTTTAAAGTAGTGATCTTGCAACTTATTTTTGTTTGGAATGAAATTTTTACTGTTGAAAGTTTAGAGTGTATTGGCGTTAAATCATTGTAAAACAAAATAAAATTGTACAGCAGAAAAGGATTCTCAGTTTTTTGTAAGAAATATTTGATATTGGTATTAACGCTCGCGAATTAAAAATCGCGAATAATCAAATTTGTCATTCTTTCTAATTTTTATGATGACAATTCACCTACCGAACGTTAACTTAATCAAAGACCGAGTGATAAAATATTTGATTCTGCATCCGTGATTCCGAAGCTTCGTCTTAATTTTCGATATTAAATATCTTCACCTTTTCACGGATGTGACTCTTGTTGGGAGCCAAGGCACGCGTAAGGCTAACGGCTACTTTTGTAGAAGCCAAACTCAAGATTCTCGAGACTTGACCCAGTCTGTTGGTCGACACGAAACTTCGTCCATTCACGCGGCAAGACGACGCAAAGTTTTCACGAGATGTACATCTGTGGACGAAAGGACGGTTCGAAGTTTTGCAGCCGCCGACCGCGTACCGATACTCGACTGCGTTATTCAAGACATATTCACACTGCGGTCGAGCTGATCCGAGTCGCACATTGGCTGGCACTTGATCGAAATTAACACGCTTCAAAAGTTGAGAGTTAATTAATTTTCAGTTCGCAGCGACCAGTCTCCGTCGTTAAACCGCTATTATCGCTTCTCGATTAGGCGACTGTGTGCGTTCGTATGGGACAAATTGAAAAGTTATCGAATGTTTGACATGGAGCCGGAAAATTCGACGTTTGTCGAAGGCGTCGTGTCATGTTGTCGTTTAAACACGATACGTTTCAACGGAAATTTCGCAAAAATTATCCGCGTAACTAATATATTCCGCGAGAACGTACGATAGAAGGAATCTTCTACGTTCAAACAAAGCGCATTTGGAACGCAAATTACTGTATCGCGAAAGCCAAGAGGGAGGTAAGGCATTAAAACAGCCATGTCTCTGCCAAGAAAAACAGCGCGGCGATGAACGATATCGATTAAACATTTCCCCGCATGAATTAAAGAGACTGTAAAAATTTGTTTACCTCCGGGAACTCATGACGGTCGACCTGCATTTTCAAACGATTTAAATTTTAAATTGTTCAAATGACCACAACTCCCGGAGGTTCCAGGAGGCAGCGGTTGGTTTCTGTCATATCTCTTTCTCTCTCTCTCTCTCTTTCTCAGTTCCCACTTTCCTTTTCTCTTCTCACGGAGAGATCCGAACTCAAGAAGGAAATAACAGTAGAAGCAGCACAGAACACTTCAATCATGCGAATTAATACGGAGAGAAAAGCGCGCGCACAATGCAATTAGAGGATAACAGAGCCATTAGTCTTGGGGCGCAACAAATCAACTCGAACTTCCGTAAATTAAAACGCTTGAATGTTTAAATATTGAAAAAAAGTGGACTACCAAATTCTTCTTAATAGGCAAAATAAATTTGTATAAATTTAAAGTTTTTCATGAGCTTAACCACGAAAATAAATAGTAAAAATGTTTAACGTACTATGTGTTAATTTTAGATTCATTCTCTCTTCGATTTTGTCGAATTTTACGTTTATCATTCATATTCATTTGTTGTGCTTCCTTTCATTTGTAATTTTGTTTTTCGTAATATTTTTTTTATTATTTTTGTTAACTCGTTAATTCAACAATTTATTATTTACACCGCATATCTATAATAAGTTCATCATAAACATTACATTTATTTAAAATATGTTCTGAGAGAATCTTGAGTTTAATACTTCAATCAAGATTATTAAATTAAAACAAATTCAATTTGCTTATTATAATATATAAAGTCGTTCTTTCGATCAATTACAATATTTGTTAAAAGAAAATAAATTTTTGTTTTGAATACATAAGTAATGAGTTTTTCTAATTTGTAAGATGATAATATAACAAATGAGATTTTCTAATTTGTAATACGTGTATTTAAAGATTATTATGAAGAAAATATTCTTTAAGATAATCCGTTACTTACAAGGAAGAAAATAAATCGAGCAATCACTTTTCTTAGCTAAAACAACATGCTGATGCCCCCTTTCGAGGTGCATCTCGTTTATTTTTTACTGTCCACTTATCCACACTTCTGTTATTTTACATTTCAATAAAGATTGTTATAATTATTATGTATCGTTGGATGTATTTTGCAGCTAAAAATTGCTTTTGCAGGCGGTGTACGTGGAGCTCAGGGTAGTAAAGTGTCAAAGCGGGCGAAGCCTCTCGATCCCGATGAGGACGACTATTACTACGATGATCCCGTGGACGAGAGGAACAATCCGACGAACGAGGCGCCGGCCGTGCCGCCTGGATTCCTGAGTCCGTCCGTGCGAGAATACCTCGATCTCGGTAAATCGATACCCGGTACGTAAACAAGATCATCTCGCGCAAAGTTGTCCCTTTGTTGAGGTCCGCTTGTCGGGTCGGGTCAACCAATCCCCGGTTGACTCGCAACGGAGTCTCGCTCTTTTCATCCCACGCTTCTTACATCTCTGTGTGCACAGCTTCCGGAACTTGTTCTTACTCTTCTGCTTCGCTTTATCCACCCTTCTCTTCCCGTTTTCTCTCACGTCACATTTTTTCTCCTGGTCTCTCCTTCCTTTTCCGCACCGAAGTCTTTTGAAATCGAGAGTGGACGCAGCATCGCATATAAAAGCCGACCGATCGTTATTTCTCGCGTGCGAGAAATAGGTAAAGTCCAGAAATGGAAATTTCACACGGAGATGAGCCGGACTCGCAAGACGCTCGCGAGTAACTTAATTCAGATACTTAATGAGAAATAATGAGGAAATGGAGAAAGCAAGATATGATGAAATAGGCAAAAGAGACTAGTCGATTGCGTAGACACTCTCCGTCGAACGCGTCTTCCGTATTCTCGAGCAGAAAATATTTCACGCTCGACGATGCCAGACTGTGAGAAATGTCAGGAACGCGGGAGTTACGCGTGGAATTGACCCTTTACTTTAAAGTACCGTCTGCGAGCGTTTCCTCTTATTCATAAGAATAAGAGAACGCTGCCCGAATCCGCGAGAAATACGTAACTGTATATAACAGTTCAATAATCTAATACATTTGTGAAATTATCATATATTTCTGAGCAAAGTTTTGCGTGGAAAGGTGTGCATCTCCATGGAAGGTTTCATTTATCTTGATATACTTATACACACAGTGCTAACTGAGAGAATTTTATTATAGGAACAAATCAAGGGAAAGCAATGATATTTATTAAAAAAGACGATCGATTTGTTACGATTGCAAATTAATTCGTCAATGTAATAAATAATCAATATCGCTAGCAAATATAAGAGACTAAATATATATATAAGTCATAGACGGTTGCAAGATCTCAAATCATAAGAAATTGACCAATTCTAGTCAAGCATTCTCCCTATATTAGATTATACAAGGTGCGTCCCAAAATTTTCCGAACTTTTTCAATAGGGATAGGTCGGGTGGCGCCATCCGTGTGTTCGATTGCGCGTTTGAAAGGTACATCCCTAGCTGACTTCCAGTAAAAATTTCATGACATTTGGTTCAGTGGAAACGAAGTTATGGCGTCTCAAGTGTCAGTATGTTGTATACATCGGTACGAGAATGAACTTCGAACAAAGAGCCAATATTAAGTTTTGTTTTAAACTTGGTAAAACATTTACCGAAACCCATAATTTGATGAAACAAGTTTATGGTGATAATTGTGTAGCCCGTGCCAGTGTTTATGAGTGGTATACGCGATTCAAGAACGGTCGTGAGGACATAAATGACGACGCACATACAGGTCGCCCAAAATCGACAATTAACGAAAATTCCATCGAAGTTGTGCGTAATTTCATCAAGCATGAGCCAAAATCTTCAGTGAGATACATGGAAATGGAATTGAACATCCCCAAATCAACGATTTATCGCATTTTGACCAAGGAAAGCGGTATGTGGACGTAGAAGACATCCAAAGGGCTTGTACCACTATTCTGAAGGACGTGCCTTTGAACGACATAAAACACTCATTTGAAATGCTTTTAGATCGTGCCAAACGTTGTATTGAGTCCGACGGGGACTACTTTGAATAAACAATTTGAATTTGAAAAAAAAAGTAAACCGTTGTTTTATTTCAAAAGTTCGGAAAATTTTGGGACGCACCTTGTATATGTGCTTGGTTTCTTACGACTTGAGACTCCACGATCATCTATGAATTCTATGTAAACGAGCCTAAAGTTTATTAAAAGATAGGCTAGATTCTGTATAGTTTGCTTCTGTTACTAATAATTGATTGATATAGCAGATTAGCAGCAATCACAACAAAAAAATTTGTTATCACATATTTATCGATCACCGGTTAAAAGTACTGGTGGCTTGTTAAATTAACAAAATCCTTTCTCTCAGTGCTGATAGAAATCTGGCAAGTTATGTAGAGTGGTCCAGAATATTTAGATAATTAAAAAAAAAATCTATTTGTAAGTTTTGAGATCGACACTTTTCCAAATAAAAATATTTAAGATTAAAATTTATATTTAACATTACAATTTTATAATTTAAAATAGATATCTTGGTTAAATTAAAAAAAACATGTCTATTTCTTATTAAATCTAATTTTTTTCCAAGTTCTAAATCGCTGCTAAACTTTCTATTATTTTCAAAGTCATTTCTTACATAAATATATTTTAGAAAAATCTATATCTTTTTGTTTTATTAATAAATAATGTGTAATGCATCCTTAAATACTAAAAATAAAAAGTTAGGAAGAGATTAAACCTAACGCATAATACAAATAAGATTAAAATATATAAATGTCCAGTATTTTATTCATATCTATTTGTGCGTTAGGTCTATCCTCTATTCCCAATTTTTAATAATTATTCTTGTGTTCCTAATATTTCTTGCAATATGTACAAGGCCTTAGACACACTAATTATTTCTTTCAATTATCGACTGTCGATTTTTATGAAGCCCCGATATAAACATTAATTAAAAAATATCTACAATCTATATGGTTCAATATTAAAAGCTAGAAGAAACGATGTTCAATAAAGTAAAAAATCGCCTTCATAATGTCTACTGCACACCGGATTTCACATCATGTGAGAAGAAGCCAGAGATTTCATTGGACATCGCTAGTCGCTTCATCGCATCCAGTGTGCAGTAGGCATAAGAACATCCTCCACACTGAAAGAAAAGATTGGGTGCAGCAAATTAGATGGTAAAATATGGCACAGCCTTTTTAATTAACTGCAGTATTTTTGATTGCGTTAGCCTATCGAAATCTTACATTAACATTGCTGATAGGCTAACGCAACCAAAAATTAGCTGTTGCAACCAATTAAAAATGCTATGCCATATTCAGCCTATTTTTTCTTTCAGTGCAGACATCACGATTTTTGACAGTTTTGGGACATGTCGTATAGCCTATTCTACACTGAAAGAAAAGATTGGCTGCTGCAGCAAATTAGATGGTAAAATATATGGCGTAGTATTTTTAATTGGCTGCAACAACCAATTTTTGGTTGTGTCAGCTTATCCTCAATGTCAGTATAGGATTTCGATTGGCTAACGCAACCAAAAATTGGCTGCTGCACTCAATTAAAGATGCTATGCCATATTTTACCATCTAATTACCATATAATTTGCTGCAGCAGCTAATCTTTTCTTTCAGTGTACAGAATGGCGATTGCGCGAGAACGTATACGGCGATGGAGACGCCGTTCATGCGAATGAAGTGTCAGGTCGAGCGATACACTTTGCAGAGTGCGATTATAAGATTTGCCGGCCGCAAATGGATGGGATTTAAATCTAGACGGACGATGCAATACCGGCAGCGTTCATGAACACCCTTCAGCGGGTAATCCGGCCGACAATAGACGCCGGAATGAAGAGGAAGATGCCGGCGCGAGGCAGAAGTATAAGGAAATACGTAGCCGCATACCTCGACGAGCAATAACTTATCTTCTATCCGGTTCTTACCTTTTCCTCCTCGTTTCCGCAATCGTATAAAGCGCGCTCAAACCGGAGGAGGAACTCGTCGAATACGAACGTACCGCTCCGTTTCGCGGAGATACCAACAATTTCACTGATATTCCACGGCTCTCTCTGCTCAGACGAGACAGAAGGGCACACCACGTAACGATCGTTTGTCATTCGTCAATTTTAGAGAGAAACGCTTTAAAAAAGCGTTTCTCTCTAACGTTTCTCTCTAAAGTCTCTTTTTCAGTTAAAACGTGCTGTTCTATATGAATTTTACAACATCAACGAAAGTCAGTTTTTAACTCTTTTTCTATCGAGATGATTTTATCAGTGAATTTGATCCTTGGCCGGCAACTAGAGGTCTTTAAAAAAGCACCATCGATATTCTGGTAAATTTAAATTTCATAGAGAACGCCAATAAACGATCAAAGATTTTAGATGTTTCAAATAATACGATATGTATTCTTTGTTGAATCGAAATATTTAAAATATGATCGCGCTGAAACGTTCGGACATTCACGTATATGAAATTAATTTATTTCATATGTGACTGTGACTACCGAATTCAAATTTGTAAAAAATAAATAAAATACAATTTATATAATAGTAAAAACTCATTGTTATAAAACTTTGACAAGTATACTAGAATTTTTTTCATTTTTTTATGTAATTCAAAATTATAAAAATTTGCTGTTTTTTCTCGAAGACTCCTTGCTGATAGAAGAGTTAAAATTCAGTTGCCGGCAGAGGATAGCATTATTATTATTATTATCTCGATTATTAGTTGCGCTGAAATATCATAGCTTTGTATATTGTATAATCTAAAAAGTATATAATTATTGCTATATAACAGCACGTGAACTTGGAACATTAGACCAAGTCAGGAGAGAACGTAGCTTCGTCAACAAGTTTCAGAGTATTATAGGCTTTAATGGGTTAAATCTGCTTGTATTAAGCAGAACCAATGATGGATTTGTCGATAAGCGCTTTAATAGATCGCTTAGAATTTCAAAATTGTTCCGTGATATTATCACTATTTTGTAGATTAATAGAATAGAGACGCGCAATAGTTATACACAATAATTATTTGAGCATGTCGTAAAATCGAGAAAATTATGAAAATACGAAGTTTGAGAAAATACAACATTACTTGAGAAACAACATTACGCCTGGAAGATAACACTGTCGTGTGTGTCTTTCGACAATTTTTGCACTTAAGGCAAAATAAATAAGCCGCTTACTACTAATGAGATTCTGTACTTTACATTCTGTGAATTACGCGTAATGCATCGTCCCTGTTTTTTTTTCCAAGCCGATTCTCACTACGATGCGAAGAAGCTGTTGCTTCTGGTTTCAAAAATCATTACTTTAAAGCGAGGTAACTGCATTAGTAGCATCATAAATTCACGTCA